GTGCCAAGTCTGAATGAAGTCGGACATTCATTTCCTGTTTTATGAGCTTCATGGATGTTCATAATTTTGACCCTTTGTGGAGGAGGTACCAGAAGGAGTGGACTGATATATTACATTTTCACGCCAAAAAATGTGTTAATAAAAATATTGTGATGTGTGTTATTTAAAGGCAATCGGACTCTTACATTACATTTTATAAGAGTTATAATTATTCAAAATTTTTCGCTTGGTGGAGGAGGTAGTTGATGAAGTGGACCGATATTGTCCATTTTCGCACCTGGCCTAGTACTGATGCAAATATTAGGATTTGCAAAGTTGGAGCAAAATTGGATTATCTTCTCTTTCTGTGCAGTAAAACACTTTTTTTTTTTTATTGAAAATTTCGACTTTTGTGGGGGACGTACCTGAAGGAGTGGACCGATATTACCTATCTCCGAACTCGATCTAAGTTGGATAATAATATTACGATCTACCAAGTTTGGACCAAATCAAATACTCCCTTCGAGAGTTATCGTGCGCACCAGTCAGACGGACGGACGGACATTGCTAGATCGACTCCAAAGGTCCTGACATGGGTCCAAAGAGACCTAGGGTCTAAAACCTTTATTCCTATGAGACATGAGAATGGTATATTCTCTCCCTCTCTAACCATATGGCTGAGGGTATAATGAACGTTTCCATATAAAAATATTTAAAAGTAGCAAAAAGTAGCCATTTCGAGAAGGGCTTTAGGGTACTTCCCTTCCCTGAGTACTTCCCTTGAAGAAGTAATGTTTGAAAGAAAATGGACAACGAGTTGACAGTGACATTAAACCATAGTCGGAGCGATATTCCAAATTTAGCTTCTCATGCCAAAAGGTAAATTTTTTGGATCAAAAAAGACGAAGTTGTTTAAAAAACGTGTTAAAAATATTTCAAGCTACTGCAACGATCTGTGAGTCAAGAAACCCCGATGACAATTTCTCGTTTGTTGGAATCTACAATATAAATAATTTATTAGGTTTTTTTCCGAACAATTTTTAATCAAATTGAAAAAATAAATGCCATAATTAGACCCACAGATTTCCTAAGTCAATTATTTTAGAATAACAGCAAACTGAGTATGTTCTTTTTTTTTCTGAAAAAGGGGTATATCTCATTATTTTGCATGTATCTGCCAAAGCGAACTTGTTTAGGGACCACATCGAAACATAGGACTATCCACCGAAACGGAACTCCTGGACACCAAATTACAAGAAATTGGTTGGAAAATGAGGGAAAAAAATCGTTAAAAACGTATAAATATTCCAAATCTATAAAAAATTGAATATTTTTTACATTACCCTTATAATGAATACCACTATTATATATTTAAATTTACTAAACAAATATGCGAAAAAGAATGAGATTAATTTTATTAATTATTAATTTTCATTAATTATTATTTCTGATATAAGATAAAAATATAGCCCATCAAATTCTCGAGCGTCAATGAAAGATATTTTTTAAAATAAACATTTGGTTATTCCACAATTTAAATTTCAACTGTAAATTCTTCAATTTTGTTTTCAAAAATTATCAGTTGTATTGCAAAAATGCTTAATTTTAATTATATTGTTGTAATCATCTAAATAGCTAAAAATACATGCAAAACAATTATTTTAAAAAAAAACTTAGCAAACCATGCGAATTTTTTAAGAAAATTTCAAATAAAAGAAAATTCAAAACACTTTGCGCTACAGTAAATACATTTTTGATATGCCTTGATCAATGGTAATTCAATGATAAACAATGAATGCCATATGTTTTGAAGAAAATATGCAAAAATTCTTATTGTGAAAAAATATGATTTTTTAAGGAAATTGAGACAGTTATACAAAATGAAATCAAATGTTAAAAAATGTTATGAACATGAAAAACAAAATATTTATAAAAAAATACAATTTTGTCCCAAAAAGTATGCTGTAATTTCGAATAATACAAATTGAAATTTGTAGTGTTTTTTAAAAAGACTGTTGAAATACAATACCTGATCACACTTAATATCCATGTCTATATTAAAATTTTAATATTTTAAAAAAATTTGATAAAAAAAACACGTTTCAACATATTTTTTTTTACACAATTTCAAATCGGACAAAAATGCCGCATCAGATTTTATCTTAAATATTTTAATTTTAAAATATTTAATTTTAATTCCGTTGTAGTTATATATCGTTCAAAAAATCTTTCAAAGAACAAGTCAATATGTCTTTCAAACAATAAGATATATAAAAATCTCCTACTGAAAGAAGACCATAAAAGATTAATCTAAAAATGTAATGCCTTCCTAGATTGGAAGAAGTAAAGCCAGACTTCTGGATATTATAGAAATTCCTCTTCTATAAACAGCTCCCGTTTAGGGTTACACTTAGTTTTGTATATGCGCCTTGTAGATGTCTTTAGCATATAAAAGAGCTTTGTATTTCAAAGGATTTTTGCCCATAGAATATGTTTTGAAGTAGTGCATCATATGTGATGTCATAGTATACCCTTTAAGGGTAAGAATGTGGAAGTCCAAAATATAGAAGACTCTAAAAAGTGATTCTATCTTCAGAAAAGCATCCGCTAACTAAAGAATACAATTCTTGGGAATACATGAACTAGTGACGAACTTTCGTCTATGGAAAACCTTTTGTGTTTCCACTGTTTGCAGTAAATGTTTTTAAGAATCCACTGTCCATAGAAGATCTTTCAGATGTTTTAATCAATAGAAGAAATGTTTAAGGTCTCCTGTCTACAGAGATCTTCCGTTTGTAGAATAACTAATATATAATAGAATAAAAGAATAACATTGAAAGTTAAAGAATCAACTGTCCAGGTTGTAGAAAATATTTTAAAAATCCCATGTCTATGGAATATCTTTTTAAAATCTTTTGCCATTAAAAGAACACTTAGAGGTCTGTAGAAGTATAGAATTTCATCTATAGAAAAACTGTTACAGTTAAATGGTAGACCATAGGAAAACACATTTTGATAATCTGAATCGTAGAATCACATTCTGAGTCGATTTATGCATGTCCAGAGATAATCGGTCAAAATTTAGATATAGCTCTCATATATATCTTCGTCCGATTTGCCTCTTATTGTGCACCAAACGTGTAATATCAGGCCAAATAGCATGGAATTTTGCACATACGACCAATGCAAGCCTGAAAATAAGGATGCTAAATTTGATCGTAATCGGTTCAGATATAGATAGAGCTTCCATATAGCCGATTTGTAATTTTTGTCCTCCACAGTCGTAATATGCACTTCGTAACATCGATATTTGGGAAAAATATATCTAATACAGCTCAGAAATACATTCGACAAATTTTATAGAGGTCGGTTCAGATTTGATACACATCTTTTTCCGATTTCAAGTTAATTGTGCACCAAATATATTAATTTATAAGCCAAAATTGAAAAGGCCCATATGCCTCGGCAAATTTAGTAGACATCGATTCAGAGGAGGATATTTCTCTCATATATTAGTTACTTTGGACTTGAAATTATAACTATAATCATAGTTGGTATGATTTAATTCTCACAAATTCCCCATAAAAACGTTTATTTGTTATAAATGCGGCCCACCCGACTTTTAGACTTTCTTTACTGGTTACTAATTGTAAAAGGGTTTTTTGAGACACCCTGTGAAGATAATCTAAAGAAAAGTACATTTAAGATCTACAGAATTTCTGTAAATATTCTGTACCCGGAAGACCCTTCAAGGAAAACATTTTTATTGATAAAGTCAATTAAAATTGTTTTTTTTTTTTCATAGTCGACTATAAAGTAATTGAAAAGAATTATAATTTTCTTTTTATTTATTCATTGAACAAATACATACAATAGGAAAATATATTTTATATTTCAAAATTCTGTGTCACGACCTCTGATATGAAAGTAATATCAGAATACGAGTAACAGTGGAGAGCAAAATCTCCGTTGTTTTTTCTCTAATAGAACTTTCTGTGATTGATTATTGGCCAAAGGAAATCTCTGCATAGAAAACAACAAATCATAGAAACAATAACATAATGACAATACATTTATTTCAAAATAAAAGAAAACATAATTATTATTTATATTAACAAAGAAAAAACTGGAAATTTAATTTCCTTATATTATCCATTCAATACTAATACTAACAAAGAAAAAAAAATAATGTTGTGGTTAGCCTAAGGCTCAATCAAAATGTTGTTATTTTTACTAAAAACCAAAAACTCAAAATAACAGTGGACATAGACATATTACAATTTATGGGGGTGGTGGTAAATAAATAGACAGATAAATCAGGATATATCAGTAGAGAGGAGGAATAGTAGTAAAGTAGTATTTTGGAGGCAGTCATCACATCATCATCATCAAGAAGATCATTCCAAAACGTTGGTTATTATCATAATGGTAAAATATATCGTCATAATAACATACACACATACAACAGGTAGAAGAAGATAAACGATTCATACTCATCATCATCATCATCCACGTCGTCGTCTGCAAGCCATCCATGGTCATCTCAAATCCTCTATCAATTCCCGACATCATTATCTCCTTCCAAATAGTTTTACAGATCTCTTATGTTGCCAACATCATCATTGCTATACCAGTTCATTAATGCAATTTCTTTTGGGGTCACCATTCCAAAGCCATTTGTTCCGGTCTCCAAAAAACCCAAGGCCATATAATTCACCTCCCTCATTGGTAGAACGGTATAAGTTCATATGAACAATTTAGAAAAAAGTCCCATCAGATTATTTCAAATTTATGTTTGTTTTCTTTACCATTAAAAATCGGAAGAATTTTCGCTCTCACTAGAGCTTTTCGGTCTAATTTTGTGGAGAGTAATTTTTCGTTCGTGTGTATCTGTGTAGCATTTGTTGTTTAGGTAATGTACCGCAAATTTTTGCCTATATATTTGTTGTATCAAAGAATGGCTATCTTGCTGTTTGTATGTAAACAATAAATTCCTCCAGTAATTTACCTCATTTTTTGAATTTGTTTAAATATTTTTCGATTTATTATATATTTCTTTGTATTTATTGTAGGTGGTATTGATTTGAGTATTACATTTTATAAATTCCATCTCATTGTATTTTGGTAGTAGAGTAGATCTAAGTAATGAACATTTGATTGGTATATTTTGATATTTTTTCTATGATTTTGCGCAATACGGCAACTGCCTTTGATTTGAAATATTTTAACTAGAATTTGGTTGTTAATATGTGTGGGGGTAAAATTTGTAAACAGATTTGGATGCAAATGGATTTATACAGACATAAATTTAAAATTTAGGGGTAGAGATTTTCTGTAGATTTTCTCATAAACGATTTAACAAACTTTCATACAGATTTTCTTGAAGATAACAGACCTCACAGAACATCTGAAGAAGATCTCATAGAAAAATCATGATATTCTGAAAGAAATAACATCTGAAAGTCCGTGGAATATCTGTGAATATTCTCAGAGAACATAAGTTAATCTTTCCGTAAAATATCAGCTGATCTTTCATAGAATAACAAGTCATTTTTCCAAAGATTGAACGAATTTCCCATAGAAAACTAGTTAAACAATGTGGAGCTCTTTTTTTTTGGAAGATCCATTTTCCCTCAATGATCTTCTTTTACAAAATCCAACGATCCTAGAAGATCCACTATTTTAAGAACGAACTTTTCTCAAAAGTTGTGACGATTTTACCGGAGAATATCCAATAATCATCTTGTGTAAGATTTAATGATATCTTAGAGAATCTAAGATTCTTCTCTAAGGTGATCTAACGATATTCTCGTAGAATGTAGAATGTAGAATCTAACGAACCTCTTATAGAATATGTAACAACCATCACGCAAAGCATCTCCCGGAAGATTTACAGATCTCCTCATAAAAAATTTAACGATTTAATCCTGGAGCATCAAACTATTACCTTATAGAACATCTTACGATATTTCAAAAGATCTTACGATCTTCTCATTTAAGACCTTTGGTCTTCTTATATAAGATAGATCTATCGATCTTCTCATAGAAGATCTAAAGACTTCGTCATAGATATATACATCTTCTCATAGAAAATCTATCCATTAAAGGTCTTACGATATTCTCATAGAAGATCTTCAATAAAAGATCTCACGAGCTTATTCTAGAAGATTCAATAATCTCCTCAAGAGCAGATCTCACGAACTTCTTAAAGTAGTTTTGCTTAAGAAAAGATTTCACGATCTTCTTATAGAAGACCTTCTCAAAGGAAAGATGACCCCACGATCTTATAGAAGATCTGATAATCTTCTCAAGAGAAGACCGCTCGATCTTCATATAGAAGATCTTATGATCTCAAGATCCTCCTATAGCAGGTCTTACGATATTTCAATAGAATATCTTACGATCTTCCCATTAAAAACCTTGGTCTTCTTATATAAGATCTAACGAACTCCTCATAGTTCCTCCCATAGCAGATCTAACGATTTCTCATTAAAGGTCTTCCGATATTCTCATAGAAGATCTTTTCATAAAAGATCTTACCAGCATTTCTAGAAAATCTTCTTATAGAAGATCTTATAATCTTCTCAAGAGAAGATATCTTGATATTCTTATAGAAGAGCTAATGATCTTCTTATAGAAGAGCTAATGATCTTCTTATAGAAGAGCTAATGATCTTCTCAAGAAAAGATCTGATGATCTTCTCAATAGAAGATTTTCACCTAAAATATCTCACGAGCTTATTCTAGAATATCTAATAATCTTCTTATATAAGACTTTTTCAAGAGAAGGTCCTACGGTCTTCTTATATAAGATCTGATGATCTTCTTAAGAGAAGATCTCTCGATCTTCTTATTGAAGAACAGAAGATCTTCTCAAGAGAAGTTCCGATGATCTTCTCATGAGATGATTTGATGATCTTCTCAAGAGAAAATCTGATGATCTTTTCAAGAAAAGATCTCTTATTCTAGAATATCTAATAATCTTCTAAGAAGAAGATCTTACGATCTTCTTTTAAAAGACCTTTTCAAGAGAAGATCCTACGGTCTTCTTATATAAGATCTTATATATGATCTTCTCATGATTTGATAATTCTCTCAAGAGAAGATCTGATGATCTTCTCAAGAGATGATCTCAAAAATGTCTGCTGATCTTCTCAAGAGATGATCTGATGATCTGTTAGTTAAGAGAAGATCTATAGATCTTTTAAAGAGGTAATGATCGTCTCAAAATAATATATCACGATTTTCTTAATATTATCTTCTCCAGAAAATATTTTACAATCTTCTTATAGAAGAGCTGATTATATTCTTCAGAGAAGATCTCACGATCTTCTTATAGAAGAGTTTATGATCTTCTTCCGAGAAGATCTGATGATCTTCTCAAGAGGGAAGAGGGATCTTCCTATAGAAGAGCTGATGATCGCCAAAAGTGAAGATCTTACGAGCTGATGATCGCCAAAAGAGAAGATCTTACGATCTTCTTATAGAAAATCTTATGATCTTCGTATAGAAGATCTGATGATCTTCTTATAAAAGATCTGATGATCTTCTTATAGAAGATCTCATGATATTCTCAAGTGAAGATCTCACCAGGTTATATAGAAGATCTGATGATATTCTCACAGAAGATCTTATCATTTCACAGAAAATCTAATGATCTTCACAAAAGATCTGATGCTGCTATTATAGAAGATCTTAAAATCTTTTTTATTGGAGAACCTAGACCTATGGAGGAAAATCTGTAGATTTTTTGGAGATCTGTAAAAGTTGTCGATTGTTAAGTCACGTCAAGATGAATTATTCTTCTAACAGATAATCTGTACATTTCTTTCTTATAAGAACGTAAAATCTTCGAATAGTAAAAAAATCCGCAAAAGTAGGCATTACTCATATTATCAAACTTGAGCCTAATTAGGGATCCGTGCTTTGTATAAAATCCATTTGTTTTCGATTTCGTTATCCAACAAATATATTTCATTTAAAAATCGAAAAAAATATACTTTTGAATGGTAAAATGATATGTTTTCATTTTTTCTTCGTTATCATTCAACAAAACAATACACCTATAAAAATAAGTAAATACAATATTTATTATCGACAACAACAAATTATGACTAAGAAAATATAGACTTTTTGTTTCCAAGAATATAATATCTAGTAAATATATAAATATTGGCTTTTAAATACTTCACATCACTTAAAAACTAGGAAAAATAATTTTTGGTTTTTTTTTCGAAAGAGAGAGCGAGAAAATGAGAAATCAACAACAAAAGAAAAAAAACTAATAAATACATTTCCACTAAATATTATGTTTAACTACTTGTAGTTTTTGGTTATTTATTTGATTTTGGTTTTTGTTTTGGTGCAAGAAAATTTGAATATTTGTTGTTTTGATACGTTTTGATATATAGTTTTTTTTTTTTTTTTTTTGTTTTTTTTTTTTTTGTTTTTGGTTTTCTAGAGCAGTTCAATTTGGCATGTTTTCATAATAAATAGAAAAACTATTATTAAGTATAAATATTCGAGTTGTTTGGTTTTCTTATATAAATAAATATTGTGCTGTTTAACTATTCCATATTATTTTTTTTTTTTTGAATATTTATTTGAATTATTATTATTATTGTTTATTATTGGCCTTCGATAGTTGACTCTGGGCCGATGAGGTCAACTTCGAGACAACACGTGTGAGAGCACGATTTTCAGCACGTAAACGTTCGTTCTCATTCTTTAACTTCTGTAGTAGCTACAATTACAACAATTAGAAAATAAAATCAAAGAAATGTGGAGAGAGAAAGAGAAATAGAAAGAAAAACAAATTCGTGTAAACGAAAGATAAACAAATGCATGAATTTTGAGTTACATCATGAAGATATTCGTTCGAAATCAAATGATATGCAAAAAAAGAAAACTAAAACTCAAAATGAATTAAAATAAAATGCAAGGAAAAGGGGGTGTGAGGGGGCAGGAAGAAAATGTTTCGGATTTCTTGAGATAACACTATGCCAAAGTGTTTTTTTTTTTTTTTTTTTTGGAAGAATTTGTAAAATAAATCATCAAAATTATTTTTGAAGTGTAATTTTTGACCCAATGTTAAAATTTCTGTTGCATAGTGTTATTTCTAAATAAAATGAAATGATTTGAAAGAAAAATAATAACTAAAAAATGATTATTTTCTCAATGAAAATAAAAAACGAACAAAAAACAAGGGAATTTCATGTATGGTCATCTTTGTAAATAAGAGCCTGAAAGTATGCTACAATTATGTGTTGCATATGAACCAAAAACAAAGATAATGGAATGGGTGTTTCCACGCATAAAAACAATAAAAAGCACGCAAATAGACATTCGAAATGTCAATTTAATGGTAGTGGTGTGGGTGGTGGGGAAGGAAGATGACATTTTTATAAACGTGCTTGGTGGATAATTAAAATAAATCAAAAAAATAAATAAGATCATCACTTGATAGACATGTAATTAATGTTTTTCTTTTCATTGTTAAACAAATAAAAAAAGAACAACAACAGATGTATGGACAAAAACAAAATAGTAATATTATTAATAAAATGGATGGGATCATATTGTTGCGCTGCCTGTTCCCAAAGACTATATACAAAGGTGTAACACAAAAATCTTGATGTGGTTTTGAGGAATGTTTGTTTGTCTGTTTGTTTATAGAAGACAGTCTAGATGATGTATGTTTCGTTATGATATGATGAAGCTGATGACGACAAACAATGATGATGTTGTTGTTGATGAGAGGAGTGATAGATGATGAATGACAAATGAGATGACATGTAACAGATGACGAGACGTACACACACATACATAGACATGGACATATAACCGAAAAATTCACAACTCAAAATGTCAAATAAAATGATAATCTATGGCTGATAATACAGTGTAGTGATGTATATGTGATAATAAGAAGGTGTTAAAGTTAATATTTCTGTACTAGTTTAGCATTCACAATTCGTACTTTTTTATGGTTTGCTAAGAGTCTATGTAATAGTAAAAGCAAAAGAGATTTTTATAAGAAGATCGGTAAATATGGAATAATTTCGTTTCGAGAGCCTATGGAACACTATATCAAAAAACACAATAAAATTCAAGCAATGTATTTCCAATAATAGAATGCTCCAATGTTTCCAATTAAAAAATGCTCTAATCAAATTTGAAACAACGAGGGAATGATAAATCAGCCAATTTTGTACCAATTTTGTAGCTTAAACAAGAATATATCCAACCGAAATTCCAAATAACTTTTTGTACCATCAGCCTATGGCCTCAAAGGGTATACATCATTCTGTAGAAATCAGAATATTCCCTTACAAACGGTCAAAATTATAAAACACATTGTTGAAGAATCGTTACTATCATAAAAATAAACTCAATATTTTCGTCAATACAAGGTGAGATTAAAAAACTGAAACCAACTTCAGACTGATGTAATTTCTAAGCCACTCGTCCGACAGCTGTTAAAGTTATACCAGTGACAGTTCATTATATTGTTTACAAGCGTACGAAATCATTTTGGTGAGAATTTTCCAGAAAAAAAATTATTTCTGATGGAATTCAAGCGTGACAGAGTTATTTCTTTATATTTGGCTGGAAAACCACAAGTGGCTATCGTTAGAGCACTCCAGCATTTAAATGTGAATAAATTTGTTGTGTTTCGTACCATCGCCCGTTACCTGTTAGTGTAACCCGACGTCAAGGAAGTGGAGGAAAGAAAACAGCAATATCAGCAGAAATTGTTCGAAAAGTAAAGAAGCGACTTGATCGAAACCTGCGTCGCAGTGGCCGAAAAATGGCTCGTGAGCTGAACATATCACAATATTCCATTCGGCAAATATTGAAAAATGAGCTCGGGGTAAAGCCATTGGAATTTCAAAAACTGCAAGAACTTACACCGCAACAGAAAGAAAATAGTCTCAACAGAGCTAAGGAGTTGCTTCGCTTGGTCGAAAGTGGTGAACTGCCGAATTTGGTTTTCTCCAATGAGAAAACATTCGTTGTCCAGCAGTTTGTAAACAAACAAAATGATCGTGTTTACTTGCCAAAGAGGTCAAGGAGGTTTGGCCCCAGACCCTGGACATTCCAACAGGACTCAGCACCATCGCAATCAGCACGCGCCACCCAAGAATAGTTTCCTCGCTTCATTTCCAGCGCACAATGGCCAAAATCTCCGCATACCAATCCGTTGGACTATTGTGCCTGGAGTATTTTGAAAATCAAGGTTGTCGATCACCTCAAGCAAGCGCTTCGCCAGAACTGGCCCAAAATACTGCAGAGCAACCTTCGGGCAGCGTGTGACGGTTTCATTGGCCGTTTGAAGGCCATAATTCGCGCCAAAGGTGACTAATTCGAAAAAATTTAAACTTATTCTAATTTTTTTTATTCTAAAATTCTAAAATTTTGATTTTTTGCTTTCATTCAATAAAATTTAAAAAATGTAAATTTTTAATTTTTTTCAAGTTTCCTATTTGAATATTGTAATGTCTTATGACAAAAGAGGTCTATACAGGTCTATATCTTCGTATAGATCCCAATATAACGGCCATATTCGGTATTTTTAAGAGTTTAACATAATTTTTAAAGGATTTAATTTTTTGGAAAATTTCCAAATTCGTTCGTACCCTCCACGTATTTAAATTTCGGCCTGGCCGAAACTTATTGCTTTTTTATTTGTTGTTTTTTTTTTTTTTTTTGTCTCTCTCATTCTTAAATGACTGTCACAAAGTCATGCAGTGGGGCTATCTTGGATTTTATGATGACCCTTGCAGATGTCCCAAACTATAGAACATATTATTTTAAATTAGATTTTGCCTGCGAAGATTAAAACCCTAAAATTAATAACATTTTTGTACATTTTAATTATAATAAAATTTTTTTGAGGAAAAGTACGAATTGTAGAGCAACACATATATTTAATTTTCTTCCATAAAAATGCACACATAAAGTGAAATATTATTTTATTTATTTTTTAAATATTTTCAGAAGTGTTCGTGATCAAAAAGGTGTCCATAAAGTACAAACTTTAGTGTAACACATAAAAATTTGCAAGTTTGGGAAAAAAATCTTCAGTACGAGTATATATATTTTGTAAATAGAAATAGTATATCAAAGTAAATTGTTTGGTTTTTTTCTTTTTGTTTTATGTAGAGAACAATGATATCAGCACATTTTCTCATTTTGTATAAACAAATCATTTTGAAGGGCACAGCGAAACATTAAAACATATAAATTTGTAGTTGGGTAAAAAACGCAAAAAAATAAATAAAAATCAAAGCAAAAGCCATACCTTTTGCACATCAAAGTAGAATACAAAAAAAAAAAATAATAAAATCAAAAATCAATTAATTTTTCATTGTAAACACAAAAAGGCAAAACAATAGAGGGCGGGTCAAAAAAGGCGGCGTTGGCAGCAGCAGCATTATTTTTAGGAGGGTATTTTCTTAGAACGATTGACTAGTATTTGGCAGTGTTAAAAAGTGTTAAGAAAAAAAAAACGATAATTTTTGTATCAAATTCAAATTGTTAAACGTGAGAGAAAATAAATAAAAAAAAAACCAACAATATTGCGGCATTGGTTGGTGACACAACAAGGTATATAAACAATATAAAAATAAAGAAACAAAACAACGACAAAGTGAAACAATAAAGAAAAAACAAATTAACATTAAGGAAGGAGGAGGGAGTAAAATTTCCCTCCCCCCTCTCTTGCAAAAGCTATTTACCTTGAGCTCTTCTTCCAATTCGGAAAGTTTTCGTTCCATAGCTCTCCTTTCGCGCTTTTCAATCTCTGACAGAGAATTTTTATTTGTCTGCAAAAATTTTCAATGTTTGCAAAGAAAAAAAAAAAAAGAAACAAAAGAATTGATTTGGTGTTGGGTTGGACATTGTTTTTTTTTTGCAGCATTACAATTGGTGGGTTTTTTATTTTTATTTGTGTTCCAAAGGGGAGTGAAGGCAAATTGTCATAATTAAATACAGTGCATATTTACAGGGACATGTTATAAAGTGTAGAATGTTTACACCATAGCTTCCGGTGGGTAAAAAGTGAAGAAAAAACAACTGCCAACAAAAGTGGGGGGAATTGTTCCAAAAAAATATATAATAATTTGGCTGCTTATAAAACTCCCGTTTCAAAAAATAAGACAAGGATGTGAGGTTGAAAGTTTTGGGTCTTTCACCCTAGCAAAAGTCAGCGGTAGTGGTAAAAACCCCAAAAACGAAATCAGAATAAGAAAAAAGCGCCGCATATTTTTGTTTGTATATTTTTACAGATATGTACTTTCCATCTCTGGAAAATGGCTTCAGCAAATTTAAAATTATAAAATAAATAAATTCAGTTTTCCTAGCACACACAGAAAATATTTATATATTACAATGGAGCATATGTTATAAGCTCAGTTTTTACAATTGTCTTTAAAACCACATAATATTGATATCTGCGCAAGGAAGGAAACTAATCGAATCTTGAGTCCTTTAACGACTGCCTTTACATCTTCCGTAAAATGACCTTCATTAAGCCAATAATTTACTACTTGAATTGGGCATTTACACATCTTTAAAAAGGGTCTTCATCAAGCCCCTAAAAATACTCTTTGATTCGCCCGTAATACAGGCTTTCATCTAGCCGCTCTATAGGGAGGTTTTAGCTCGCTCATAAAACGGGTCCTCATCCTAAAAAAAATATGATTATCTAAAGAGGACCTTCAGCACATCTAAAAAAAAGAGGTCTTTCAGTTAGTCTTTAAAGTCGGCTTTCAGCTCGTCTATAAATAGAGCGTTCAGCTCGGTTTAAAGAGAGCTTTCAGGTTGTATTTAAAGAGAGCTTTCAGGTCGTCTCTAATAAGAGCTTGTATTGAAGAGAGCTTTCAGCTCATCTATGAAGCCAATGAAATTGACCTTCATCTTGCCCATAAAAAGGGCCTTAATCTTGTTCTTGAATTGGAAATTTACTCGCCTTTAAAAAGGGTCTTCATTTCGCCCATAAAAATACTCTTTAATTCGCCATAATAAGGACATTCACCTAGCCACTAGTTCGTCTATTAAGAGGGCCTACAGTTTGTCTATAGAGGGCCTTTAGCCCGCCCACAAAAATGGCCTCCAGCCTGTCCATAAAAATGGTCCTCATCCTATAAAAATATAATTCTCTAAAGAGTACCTCCAGCACCTCTAAAAAAATAGTTTTGAACTTCTCAATAAAGAGGTCTTTCAGTTCGCCATTAAAGGGCGCTTTCAGCTCGTCTATAAACAGAGCGTTCAACTCGTCTCCCATACACAAGCTGACCTTCAGTTCCATTTAAAGAGGGCTTTCAGGTCGTCTTTAAATAGAGCTTTTAGCTCGTTTATGAATAGAGCTTTCAACTCGTCTTTAATAAGAGCTTTAGGCTCGTATGGTCTATAAAAAGATCCTACACTTCTCCTAAAAAGAGGTCCTTCAGCTTGCCTTCTTCAGCTTATTTATAACGAGGGTCTTTAGCTCACATATAAAGGAACTCCTTCAGTTCGTCTCTAAAATGAGTCTTTAGTTCACCTTTAATAAGGGATCCTTTAGATCACATATAGGTCTTCATCTGGCCTACAAAGAGGTCCTTCACTTCGCCTCTAAGGAGGATTTTCGGGTTGTCAAGGTTCTTTAGAGTTCGCCTATTAAGAGGTCATTCGGTTTGGACCTTTAACTCGCCTAAAACGATGTCATTTAGTTCCTTAGTACACATATAACGAGGACCTTAAGATCTCCTATGAAAGTGTCCTTTACTGCGTCTATAAATATTTTGTCTATAACGAGGACCTTCAGCTAATCCGTACAGTCTATTCAGACTTCCCTTTAACCGTCAATAAGAACCTCCTTCTGCTCATCTAAAAGACTCCCTTTTAACTCATCTATGAAGACTTAATTTAAATCATGCATAAATCCTTCAAGCCGCCAAAAAAGGTCCTTCGCATCGTCCCTAAATATTTTGTTGATAACGAGGACCTTCAGTTTGTAAAGTGAGCATTAAGCCCGTCTATAAAGACTCCCTCCGAAGAACCTTCTTCTGCTCATCTTAACATGACCCTTCAAGGGTCTGTAAAGAGGAAATTAATCTCATGTATAAATACTACCTTCTAACATCCAGTTAGAACCTCCTTCTGTTAATCTAAAATCACTCCCTTTTTACTCATCCATAAAGATGAGCTCGCCAACATTTAGCTCATATTTTTGTAGTTCGCGTCCTTTTGAGATGTCTTTTATAAGTAGAAACCCTATGAGAAGTTTTCTGTAGAGAAGAGGTCTTATTCAAGAAGTCTTCTATATACAGAAGAAGTCATGTATTAGGAGGACTTGAATTGTCATAAGATATTAATGCGGTCCACTGGAAGACCTTTAAGCGGTCCTGTATATAGGGATGACCTTGAAGAGGTCTTCTATGTATGGAAAACATTTTAGACATATAGACAGAGTCCTTCTAAGATTTCATATATAGAAAACCTGGGAAGTCTTCTCCACTCCGAAAACTTTTGAGAGGTTAACTATACGAAGAATGCCTCGTTTTATTACGATTAACAAATTTTCGGATAGAGAACCTCTACGAAATCTTATATGAATATGTCCTTATGAATTCTAGATAATTTAAATTCAGAATATGGCTTTACAATGTAGTCTGCAATTCGGCAATTGTAAACATTATTTTCTGTGTGCACTCGTAAAAAAACTTACAAAAAATATACCTACATATAATGCAAATAAATCTCCGTTATAAGTGGATATATTTTTTCAATCCTCTCAAAGATATTGTCAAACACCTTGTGTTTGGATTGTGTAAATGTTGTTGTTGTGTAAGTAAATGTAATTATTTTCAAAATTTACATTTTCCAAAAAAAAGTAACTGTTTTGCATGTAAAACATAATATCAAATATTCGGAAGAAAAACTGTGACCAAAACCCCCATTTGGTAGGTTCTAATTAAACCCACTTTGTAGAGTATTTTGAAAAATAACCCAAAAAATATTCAAAATCCAAAAATGAGAACAACAAAAATTTACTTACAGCATTAGCAAATCTTTCCAATGTGGCACGTGTCTGTATAACCTCGTCGTCTTTCTTCTTCAGCTGTGCCCGTAGTTTTTCATTTTCCAATCTGGAAATAAAAAAGAAATTTACAAAAATTGTCATTTCAACCAAATATTTCCCCCATTGGATAGCAGAGCATATCAGCCTCCCCTTGACCACTTCGACTTTGACTGTGGCCATGGTATTACACTTCACTACTTACTTCACAGCTTCCCACAAGGCTTTGTAATCGATATTATCACCACTGCTTTCTGTTTTATCACGAGTCTTCTTATCGTCTGTGGCCGAACTGGTCGATGTGGCTACCGACACTGTGCTACCGGCACGTGATCGTGAAGCACGATTTTCACTACCGCTCTGGAAAAGCAGAAAGAAAAATAAAAACATTGAAGGGATTAAAAAACGTTGGACATGCGAATCAAGTAAAATTAAAAAATATTGAAAACCTTTATACAAATGCAAATTTCTTTCGGAAATATCTGTAGCAAAAACTAGGAGGGTCCTTTTGGAGGTAAATTTTAATAAATAAAGAACATGTGGTCAACTCTAAAAGATTTTTAGAGATAGAAGACCTCCAAGAATTTTTTAATCAGGTAGGATTTAAGAGATCTTCCGTCTTCTATGTAAAAAAGGCCTTCTTGACTGTCAAAAGGTCTTTTATGGATAAATGTTCTCACAGAGATCTTTAATCAATAGATAACTTTCAAAAGTTATCCAATGAGTAAATGACCTCCAAGGTAGAGATGACTTCCAAGAGGGCCTTCTGTTAGATGACAATCAGGGCGTATTTTACGAATTGATGACTTCCAGAAGGTCTTCTTAGCATAAATGACCTCCAAGAGTTATTCTATGTCTGGATGACCTCCAAGAAGTCTTCTAAGAAAGATGACCTTCAAGGGTTTTCCTAAGGATTGATGACCTCCTGGAGGTCTTTTAAGGACAGATGACCTCCAGAAGGTCTTCAAAGAATAGATGACCTCCAGAAGATCTTCTAAGGATAGATGACCTTCTGGAGGTTTTCTAAGGATAGATGACCTCCAGGAGGACTTCTAAGGATAGATGACCTCAAGGAGGTCTTCGAAGGACAGATAACCTCCAGGTGGTCTTCTAAGTAAACATGACCTCCCAAAGATAATACATAAAATCTGACCTCAAAGAAGCGTTCTTTGACAAAATGATCTTCACAGAAATCATCTATGGAAGATGACCTCCGAGAGGTATTCCCTGACTAGATGACCTCCAAGAAGTATTCTGAGAATAGATGGCCTTCAATAAGTCTTCTATAGACAGGTGACGTCCAAGAGGTATTCTAAGTATAGATGTCCTCCAGGTGGTCTTCTAAGTATAAATGATTAAGTCTTCTAAGGAAAAATTACCGCCAAGAGGCCAGAAAGTTTAGATGACTTTCAATAGGCCTTTTAGGGCTAAAAGGCCTCCAAGGGGCCAGCTATGAGTAGATCACCTTCAAAGGAACCTCAAGAAGGGCTTAAGGCTATATAACCTCTGGGAGGGAGATAGATGACCTAGGTCTTCTAAGCATAAATGACCTCCAATAATAGAACACCCCCATGTGAAGACATTTTCCGAAATGTAAACCCCGCCTCTTTCTTGTTAACAATTCCACAAAATTTCCCCCTCTACTTTCCCTCCGCAAACGTACTTCATAACCTTCACTCTTCTCCGATGAGGCACTGAGAGATCTCTGGGCAGCTGTACGTGAACGGGAACGTGTACGCGATTTCCTCTCCTGTTCCCGCAGAGAACTGCTACGCGAAACAATGGCAGCCATTGCCGCCGCATTTGGTGTTGATGCCGCTGAACTGCCGGAATATCCATTTAAGCTGCTATTCGATGACGACATGGGTTTTGTTGCACTGAGCGAGGAACGTGAACTGGAGAGATTTTTATTCAAATAGGAATTGGAATTTTTGGCAGCAGCTGTACCCAAACTCAACGAAGCTGTAGTGATGCCATTATCATAGGACGAGGCATAGGGACTTTTGTAACGATGATCGGAGCCGTAGGAATTTGAGGACGAGTAGCGAGATGTGGGCGCTTCATAACCATTGGAGGAGGCTGTGGTGTTGGTGGGCGTTGGGTTGGAGGGTGTCGACGCAGAAGATGTGGAAGAAGAATTGGAAGAATATTGAGATTTTAAATTTGCTTCATTGGAGTAGGAATTATTATTGTGGCTGGAAGAGGAGGTACCTGTGGTGGCCGATGATGAATTGCTGGATGAATAGAGGCCAGAAGCTGTGCTGGTAGAAGCATATGAAGGTGATGATGACTTGGATGAGGGTGATGGTGAGGCGGCATGCGGTGAACGCATATACGATTTGGGTGATGAATGATGGTACGACAATCGACCATGTGAAGAAGCGGAGGACGAGCTGGCAGCATTTGTCACATAAGCATGGTGATGCTGATGATTGGAAGAGGAGGGTGAGGGTGGTGGAGGGGTAAGGGAAATGGTAATTGAATGATGATGAATCTGATTTTGCTGTTGCTGATGGTGATGATGATAATGCTGTTGACTGCTGCTTGTTACTAATGGCGATGAAGATCTCGGTATTTTAGTGGCAGCAGCAGAGGCGGCAGCTGAGCTTTCCTTGGAGCAAGCAGCAATGTATTCATGGCGATAGCTTGAGGCTGATGATGCTGCGCTTGCTTTATTACCATTCGAATAATAACTGTTACTATTGCGTCCCGCTGATGTGCCACTGCCATAGAGATTATCTCTGGAGGAGTATGTACTGGCATAGGGACTTTGATAGTACGATGATGAGGCTAAATTCGAATTGGAACCATTTTGATAGTAACCGGTACTCAGGGGTCTCGAGGAACTTGACGAAGAACTGTAGCCGCCATTAGATAGACCACTGCCATACGATGTGCCATTGTAGTTATAGGCGCCGGCACCTTGAACCCTGGAACTGGACAAAGAACGCCGTCTCGAAGAGGTGGAACCCAACGGTTGGCTGGCACGGGAACGTGAGCGAAAAGACATGTTTACGCTCGTCTACACAGATGTATGCAAGTTTCGACGAATTTCAATTTGTCGGTAAATTTCAAAACGTTTCTCTCTGCAGAAATTGAAATTTTAAACAATTGTCTTTATTTGTTTGGAAATTTTCTTCGAAGAATAAAAATTTAACAACGCATTTTCTTTTCTTTGAGGAAAATAAATTATTTGTTGGGGGGGGAGGAAGGTAAGATAGGTAATTTTTCTTTTCTGCTGCTTTTTTTTGGTAAACAATAAGGAAGAGATAATGTTTATTTATAATACTTCAACAACGTCAACATTTTACGTCATTTGATCTTTTGTTTCAAATTTTTTTTTCATCGTCTGTCTGCCTTCGTGTTGTGCCTTCTCGGCACAAATTCCCATTATTTACATTAATTAAGCGCCGAAATTTATGGCAAATTTTTAATTACAACCCAAAGACCGAGTAGCCAACCACCCAAGAAACCATACCGCCGCAATTATTTCGATAATGGATGGGGGCAATTAGAATTGATACAAGGTATGTAAGAAATGTGCTGCCATAATTTATAGATGAATTCTTTATAAGGCCAAGTGGACTAAGTCCACTATAACACATACCACAAGGATTTCCGATGGAAAACATAGATGTCGAAAAACAACAGAAAAGATATCTGCAGAGGAAGATCGCCAAATGGACTTCTATGAGAACACCACTTTGTCTTCTATAAAAACCTCTTGGTCTTTTTAAGAAGCAGACCTTCTGGACTTCTCAAGAGTAGAATTCCTTCGGGGCTACTCAAGAAGACCTTCTGGGCTTCTGTAGGGAAGACCTTCTGGGCTACTTAAGAGAAGAATTTCTGGACTTCTTAAGATGACCTTCTGAACTTCTAAAGAAACCCCTTTGGACTACTCTATAAGAAGACCTTTTGGACTTCTCGATAAGTCTTTCCGGGCTTCTATAAGACCATCCGCTCTTCTATTTGAAGACGTTCTGGCCTTCTGGTCTTTTATAGGAAGACCTTTTGGGCTTCTTTAGAGAAGAACTTCTGGGCTTCTTAAGAGAAGAATTTCTGAACTTCTTAAGATGAACTTCTGAACTTCTAAAGAAAACCTTTTAGACTACTCTATAAGAAGACCTTCTGGACTTCTCTATAAGTCTTTCCGGCCTTCTATAAGACCATCCGCTCTTCTATAAGAAGACGTTCTGACCTTCTGGTCTTCCATAGGAAGACCTTCTAGTCTTCTATAGGAAGTCCTTCTGGTCTTCTATAGGGATACCTTCTGGTCTTCTATAAGGATACCTTTTGGTCTTCTATAGGAAGACCTTCTGGTCTTTTATAGGGAGACCTTCTGGTCATCTATAGGAAGACCTCTTGGTCTTCTATAAGAATACATCTTGGTCCTCTTGTCTTCTATGAGAAGACCCCCTGGCCTTCTATGAGAAGACCTCCTGGCCTTCTATGAGAAGACCTCCTGGCCTTCTAAGAGAAGACCTCCAGGTCTTCTAAGAGAAGACCTCCAGGTCTTCTATGAGAAGACCTCCAGGTCTTCTACGAGAAGACCTCTTGGTCTTCTACGAGAAGACCTCTTGGTCTTCTACGAGAAGACCTCTTAGTCTTCTACGAGAAGACCTCTTGGTCTTCTACGAGAAGACCTCTTAGTCTTCTACGAGAAGACCTCTTGGTCTTCTACGAGAAGACCTCTTGGTCTTCTACGAGAAGACCTCTTGGTCTTCTACGAGAAGACCTCTTGGTCTTCTACGAGAAGACCTCCTGGTCTTCTATGAGAAGACCTCCTGGTCTTCTATGAGAAGACCTCCTGGTCTTCTATGAGAAGACCTCCTGGTCTTCTATGAGAAGACCTCCTGGTCTTCTATGAGATGACCTCCTGGCCTTCTATGACAAGACCTTCTGGTCTTCTATGAGAAGACCTCCAGGTCTTCTATGAGAGGACCTCTTGATGCTATATAAGAAAACAATTTGGTTTCCTTTGAGAATACCTCCTGGTCTTCTACGAGAAGACCTCCTGGTCTTCTATGAGAAGACCTCCTGGTCTTCTATGAGAAGACCTCCTGGGCTTCTATGAGAAGACCTCCTGGTCTTCTATGAGAAGGCCTCCTGGTCTTGTATGACAAGACCTTCTGGTCTTCTATTAGAAGACATCTTGGTCATCTATAAGAAGACCTCTTGGTCTTCTATAAGTAGAGCTCTTGGTCTTCTATAAGAGGACCACTTGATGCTCTATAAGAAAACAATTTGGTTTCCTATGAGAATACCTCCTGGTCTTCTACGAGAAGACCTCCTGGTCTTCTATGAGAAGACCTCCTGGTCTTCTATGAGAATACCTCCTGGTCTTCTATGAGAAGGCATCCTGGTTTTCTATGAGAAGGCATCCTGGTCTTCTATGAGAAGACCTCCTGGTCTTCTATGAGAAGACCTCCTGGTCTTCTATTAGAAGACGTCTTAGTCATCTATAAGAAGACCTCTTGGTCATCTATAAAACCTCTTGGTCTTTTATAAGTAGACCTCTTGGTCTTTTATAAGAGGACCTCTTGCTGCTCTATAAAAAAAAACCATTTGGTTTTCTATGAGAAGACCTCCTAGTCTTTTTTTAAGATCTTCTGATTTTCTATGAGTAGGCCTAATGGAAGACCTTCTCTGCTTTTGTGAGAAGAAGTTTTTTCTAAAAAGTTTTTCTCATTGCAAATATGACCAAAAAGGTCTGCCGAATCTAAATTTAAAATCATGTCGTCAACTGGTTAAAAATACAACCACATCACCTCTGAAATCCCATCAGTATTATACAAATTTGGACATTATCCAACTCCATATATTCCATAGGAGATAATTTTTAAAACATTATCAAAGCCAAAAAGCCAAAGGATGACATGATGGACCCGCTACAATAGCATGAATCTTTTTGGACAGAAACAACAAAAATAAATGTTGGCCATATTGGTAATATTTTTTCAAATAATGTGCAATGGACATTGAGGAAAAGCAAATAAATAATATTTTGAGGAAAGTAAAAAAAAAGAAAGAAAAGCACACACATGACTTGTCAAAAATTAATCTTTCTTGTCAATCAGATTATGATGGATATTATTTCTCGGCTAACCTTATGGCATAGATTTGTTTCCTCAAGCGTGTATGAAAAGATGCATATTGATATGACATCTGTGAGATACACAGCCGACTGAGTGCGCAGCACTGTTTGCCGGTGTTACACATTTGCGTTTTGGGAAACTTTGTTTTGGGGTTCTGTACAAAAGAAAAACAAAACGCTGCAACGAAATTCATTCGATTAAATGGTGCATTTTCCCGCAAAATGCTTGAGTTCACATGAAATTTGTTTAGGCAGCTTATTCTCACTCACTCACTCACTCACCCACTGACGTGATTTCCTGAATTTATGGTTTATTTTTAAAATAATTTTCTTTAGATTTGTTTCTTGTTTTAGCTACCGTGTCTTCTTCTGCTCACCACCACCGAGTGCGTGGGTGATTCATGTGAACCAAAAAGAAACGAATAAACGAATAAAAACAACTAAAAGACCAAAAATACTGCAGCAGTGGAAATAAAACGTTTTTCCACTTTTGTTTTCATTGTTTCATTTTACGTTGCTGTTGTTGTCAAATAAATCTTTTGTTTTTTTTTTGCAAATTTTTAGCTCACAACAACATAAAACACAAACTAAACATTTTAAATCATTGTCTAATTCTTGAGATTTCAATTTGTTTGACTATTTTGCCTCTGCCAGCCTGGTTAGCCGGTATGTGGTATTATTATGACGTCATAATTTTTGGAATATTTAACCATATCGAGGTCAAGCTATTAATTTTATATAATTTCTTAGGACTAATCGGCTAGGTGAAAAAGTGACCTTAGCCATGAAAATGAAAAATGAAAAATGCCACAAAATAGCATCGGATTTGGGAAAAATTTTCTATTCAGCGCAGGCCATAAAAAAACTTTCGTAGAAAAAAATGAAAATATGTCTTTTTATTTAATGCCAAAATATCAGCCCTTTTCTAATATTTGGCATGTTTTATCATAGAAGTCCAAAAGTCAAAAAAAAAAAAAAAAAATAAAGTGAATACTATAAAAACCCCAAGAGAATGGAGACTCTGAGGACTTCTCATGGAAGACTAAAAGATTTTTTATAGAAGAAGAAGTTTTCAAAGAAGTTTAAGAGCGAATACCATGAATTCCTATAGACCAAAAGATATTTTTATACAAAACCTTCTTCCAGATTATCTATCTCTCATACAGGACCAATAATATATTTTTTTCCTTTTCTCGGGCCAATGGAAGAGTTATTTTATATCAACCCCAAGTTGTCGATTTTTATAGGAGACCATAAGGTTTCAATTTGGATTTATTCTCAATTCTTTTTTATCTTTATAAAAAAAAAACCTAAATGTCTTTATTTACAATATTTCCTTCTAGACTTATTTTTTATATGTGGTCTAGATATTAAATTTAACGAAGAATAGGATTTAGATCTTTGAGCCCGATTTTTACCCTACAAAGATGCCATATCAAATTAATAATACAAAGAATTCTCCAGTCCAGTTTATTCAAATTTCAATCCTATAAAAAATCCCTTTTCTGTTGTTTTTTATATTTATAAGCTTTTCAATATGTTAATTGTCAGTACACTACCTGGGAAAGGCCTTAACAGCAGTACCCGCCGGGAATATACACAGAAAATGGGGAGCTTGGAAGCCTCTAAATTTTGAGAGAAATTTAAGAAAGAGGATCTCCTAAAATGGATTTCGTCCAAATACAGTGAATCTGCATATAATCTGGCAATATCGGAGGAGGGTTTATTATCATTGAAACCCCCATAAATTTTGTTCGATAGCCAAAGGCAGTAAACACTATTCAAATTCGTTGCAATTTCTAATGTAAAGTTGTGGCTAAGACTGGCAGAAAACAATCTGCCTTTCCCAAGCTGCCAATAAAAACTTTTAGGTCAATTTAATGCGTCTTTTTCTGCCTCGTATCGCCCGCTCAACACTTGTTTTTTTATACTCTTAGCCATATGGCTAGAGAGGGTATATAGCATTTGATACGGTCAAAACGTGCCTAGTCGAAAAAGCGGTTTTAGATCCTAGGCCTCTTTGAACCAAGTCCGTTTCAGGACATTTGTAGTCGATCCGTCCGTCAGTCTGTCTGTCTGTCTCTCCAAGGGAGTATCCGATTTGGTCCAATCTTGGTACATCATAATATTATTGTCAATCTTAGATCGAGTTCGGACGTGGGTAATATTGGTCCACTCCTTATGGTACCTCCAACACAAAAGGTCGAAATTAAGAAAAAATGCTCAAAAAGAGAAAGAATAATCCGATTTTGCTCCAACTTTGCAAATCCTAATATTTGCATCAGTGCTAGGTAAGGTGCAAAATCGGTCCACTCCATCAAGTACCTCCCCCAAAAAAGGGTCAAAATTTTGAATAATTATTTTAAAATGTAATGTAAGTGTTCGATTGTCTTCAAATTACACACATAATAATTATTTTATTAACCCAACGTCTGGTTTGAAGGTGCTCCTTCTGATACCTCCCCCACAAAATTTAGTCAAAATTTAAAAAAAAAAATACCCATGAAGCTCATAAAACGCCAACTCAAGATCTGTTATAAAGATAGTAGAGATCGGACCATTTCTTCTGGTACCTCCCCCACAAAGGGTTAAAGTTTTGAAAAACGAAAATGATTATAAAATCCGAAATAAGCATCCGGTTCTTCTTATATTTCACACATCCCATTATTTGTACTAAGACTAGATCTGATGCGAAGATGGAATGTATCGGACCACTTCTTCTGGTACCTCTGCAAGAAAGGGTAAACATTTTGAATATCCATGAAGCTCATAAAAATCCAAAATAACACCCGATTCCATTTAGACTTGGTACATCTCAATATTTCCGTCAACACAAGATCTGTTATAAAGATGGTAGTGATCGGACCATTTCTTCTGGTACCTCCCCCACATAGGGTTCAAGATTTTGAGAAACCAAACGCTCAAAGAAAGCCAAATAAACATTCAACTTTCTTCAAATTTTACACATACAAACATGTTTGATAACGCAAGATATGTTGTGAAGATTATATATAGCTGCGAACCTCTTCTGATACCTCGCCTTCAAAAGATTCATAATTTTCAATACGTGTATCTGTCATAACTTACGAAACAAGCCAGCGATTCTTTACAATTTGCTATATATAAATATTTCTCTCAACCAGAAACTTGGGATGGTTAGGTCCGATATGTAATGGACAATACTGCTCCATTCCTTTAGAACCCACTCAATAGAGGATCAAGAGAAGTCAAGATATATTTAAATAATCGAACATTGGCAGAAGGTATGCGTCTGTCGGAAGAATCGTCTGATACTTTTTAACATGTTTTTCTAAAGCCATAGATAGTCATTCAAATTCGAGTTTAATTGGGGTTCTCTAAGCTGTTAGCTTCTTTTCTTCTGCCTTTCCGCATACCATAAAATGGTGTTTTTACAGCACTGATAGAAAAATTAGAAACAAAATATTATTGATTATTTCTTGAATGAAAACGGAATAGAAATTGTAAAAAAAAAACAAGTAAAAAACATTAAGTTCGGCCGGGCCAAAATTTTAATACCCTCTACCTTAGGGTAAAGGAAACATTAAAAGAAATGTGGCAAAAACCATTAAAATGCCGAATATCGGGAGGAACCGTTAAATGGGGGCTATACATATAATCGTGGACATACACATGCTATGTTTCGCCAAAGGAGCTAGAACCCATTATGACCTACAAATACCAATTTTCAGACAAATCCGTAAAAAGTGTGGCAAAAATCATCAAATTACCGAATATCGGGAGGTGCATTTATATGGGAGCTATACCAAAAGGTGGACCTATAATTACAATGACTCGCCACACGGACTAGGACCCATTATGACCCACAAATACCAATTTTTAGACAAATCGGTGAAAAAATGTGGCAAAAACCATCAAAATACCGCATATCGGGAGGTACCGTTATATGGGGACTATATCAAAACATGCTTCGCCACCGGAGCTGGAACCCATTATAACAAAAAAAAACCAACTTTTTGACAAATCTGTGAAAAAATGTGGCAAAAAAATTAAAATACCGAATATCGGGAGGTACCTTTATATGGGGGCTATGCCAAAACGTGGATCTATACATGCAATGTTTTGCCACACGCACAGGGACCCGTTATGACCTACAAATACCAATTTTCAGACAAATCCGTGAAAAAATGTGGCTTAAGTTATCAAAATACCGAATATCGGGAGGTACCGCTATATGGGGGCTATGCCAAAACGTGGACCTATACGTGCATTGTTTTGCCACATGCACAGGGACCCGTTATGACCTACAAATACCAATTTTCGGACAAACCCATGAAAAAATGTGATATAAATTATCAAAATACCGAATATCGGGAGGTACCGTTATATGGGGACTATACCGCTCTACGTCAATAATGTGGGCTGTATCGTGATTTCAACAGACAGACAGACGGACATCGTTTAATTGACTTAGAATTTTATCCTGATTATAAATATATATACTTTATGGGGTCTACGACGAATATTTAAGGATGTTACAAACGGAATGACAAAGTTAATATACCCTCCTTTCCAAGGTGGAGGATATAAATATGCACCAAAAACTTGATTGCTATTTGGCAAAAATTTTCGAAAACTTAGTGATGATTTGATCCGTTTGATTTTGACTGAAGATTTTCACTCAACCCATTTTTTTCTTCATTTTTTTCCAGTTATCGATCCTAGTCCCAAATCGTTACAGATAGTTAGTGGAACACAAATTGGATTTCTTTGGAAAATGAAGCGAATGAAACCTTTGAGACAGGCCATTAATTTTCTTTCGACAGACGTAGGCAGGCTGTTAGACTTTTTACAATCATGGAAAGTCGATTTCGGTAGTACAGTGAGAATGAGACTGCTACCTGTCATTTTGAAAACCATATTGAAATATTAGTTACATACTCCTTGATCAGTTCAAACCTGGTTTCCAAATATGATGCCAGCCAAAAACAAAATTGGAAAAAAAAACATTGCAGCTAAATGTTGCAAACCAAAATGGCAAATAATAATAAAAAAATTATTTTCACCATGAAAAGTCAAAACTGCAACAAATAACGACGACGCCAACAACAACAACCACAAATAGTTGTTATGAAGCCACCACAAACAGTGGCTCGTTGCTGTTGTTGTTGTTGTTGTATTGAAATTGAAGTATGACGATTATAATTTATGTTTCATGTCGTCTGTCAGAAATCGATCGAAATCTCCTATTAACAAATATGGCATTAAACTTGATGCGTTTGTTTAGTCGGTTGGTTGGACGGTTTGGCTGGTGGCAGGCTGGTGAACAAATAAGCGATCAATCGCTCGATAGAAGTTGCATTTATGGCGGCAGATAGATGGATCGACAGATGGATGGTGTAACCAAATAAGGCTTCAAAGGAATGTAACTGATAGTTGGGTTAGACGACGACAACGATGATGAAGTGATCTATGGGTCGGTTGGACAGACGGACGGACCACTTGACATTATATTGAACAATAATGGTATTTTGAATGGTATCCATTTCACAAAAGTTGTGTGTTCTTAATTTTGTTGCTATTGTTTTTTTTTTTATTTTTGTGGTTGATTCTTTGTTTTTTTTTTTTAATTTTTTTTGTTCTTATTTGAAAACAGTATTGTTTGCAAATATCTGTGTTAACACAAATTTTTGACATTTACTGACAAATGTTTGTGATTTTTTGTTTTGTTTTTCAAATCTCATTCTTGTTGTTGCTTTTGGGGGGAATAGTTTTGGTCCCATTCTCAATTTACATAACACCAAATAGAATTATATTTTTTTCTGGTCAATTTTTGTTGTTGTAAAGATAATGTTGCATTTTGTGTTATAACAATATCGAAAATTAAAAAAAAAAAAAACAACAAATGGCAACAGTTTGCGGTTTCATTAATAAATATTGAGACTGTCATCAATTAAAATGCGTTGTTAGATTTTCCTCTTCTTCCTTCTTCTTCGTCTAGATTGCGTTTTAGAATCAATATTAAATTCGCTTTTTTTTTGTTTTAAATACCACAACAAAAAATGAAAACCGTTTCGACGTTTTCTAATAAATACAACAAACTTTATATATATTTATATTAATATTGTTGTGTTGTGCTGTTATTTTATTGTATTGTATTCCTTTTATTAGTTTTTGTTCTCTGTTTCGTATTTGATTTTTTTTTTTTTGTTTTTGGCGTAATTCGGACAAACGACAGACAGACTACAGCCAACAACGTTGTTAGCTGAAGATCTAAATATTGACTGAATTCATAATGATTTTGAAAATTTCTTTTATAAATTTGTTTGCTTTAGCATTCGTCTCAAGCAGCAGCAGCAGATCGGCCGGCGTGAACGCCAACAGCCAGCAACACCAACACCATGCTCATCATCAGCATCATCGTCGCGGTTGTCTCATCATTATCACTGTTCTGAGCATCATCATGATCATGATCATCGACATCATCATTGTTGTTATGGCAACGAATGTCTGCCGGTTGAATTTTTTCCTCCCAACTGAGAAAATTGGGAAAACTCATTTTCGAAATTAGAGCAAAATAAAATATCCTCAGAAAAATTTATTTTTTGTTGATTGAGAAAAGAAAACATACTCTCACTTTTGGCATAAGACCCACTGAATGTTTTCGGTGTTTAGAAGACCTATAGAAGGTCTTCTATGTTTAGAAGTCTTAAAGATGTTTTTTTATGATTAGAAGACTTATAGAGGCCTACAGAAGATCTATGTTTAGAAACCCAAGACATGTTTTCATGTTAAGAGGATATAGAAAGCCTACATAAGGTATTCTATGTTTTAGATACCTATAGGGGTTCTCCTACGTTTTTAAACTCTACGAAAGACATGCTATGCTTAGAAAACCAGAAGGCCTTCTAAGTTTTAACGTATAAATTGACTTCTATTTCAAAAGAGGACTTCCATGTTCAGAATATTCTATGTTTACAAGAACTTCAGATGGTCCTCTATGTTTTGAAGACCCATAGATGGTTTCTATGCATATGAAAGGACTTCCAGGTACAAAAGAGTATATTATATGTTTAGAATGCCTATAGAAGGTCTTCCATGTTTAGAAGACCTATAGAAATTCGTCTATGTTTTGGTAACACATAAAAGGTCTTCTATGTTTAAAAGTCTAACTGAAGGTCTTCCATGTTCAGAAGTTTATTCTATATTTAGAAGACCTACAGAAGGTCTTCTATGTTTATCAGACCTCTAGAGAGACTTCTATGTTTAGAATCTCCACATATCTATCAGACTTCTAGAAGGTTTTCTATTTTTATCAGACCTCTAATAGCTCTTCCAATTTTAGAAGGACCACTGGGGCATTCTGTGTTTATAAGTCTTATTGAAGGTCTTCTATGTTAGGGTACCTTCAGAAGGTCTTCTTTGTTTATCAGACATCTAAGGGACACTCTATATTTGAAGAACTACAGAAGGACTTCTATGTTGAGAAGACCACTGAGGACATTTTATGTTTACAAGTCTTACTGAAGGTCTTCTATGTTTAGGGTACATTCAGAAGGTTTTCTATTTTTATCAGACCTCTGGAAGGTCTTTAATGTTTCGAAGAATTACATAAGGTCTTCTATGTTAAGAAGACCTACCGAGGTTTTTTATGTTTAAAAGTCTAAAGAAGGTCTTCTCTGATTAGGAGACCACCTAGCGTATTCTATGTTTAGAAGTCTTATAGAAGGTCTTCTGTGTAAGGGACGTACAGAGGGCCTTTTATGCTTAGAAGGCATACAGGAGGTATTAGAAGATCAATAGAACGTCTTCTCTGCCTAGAAGCCCTGTGGAAGGATTTCTTTGTTTAGAGGACCTACAGAAATTTTTCTATGTTTAGGAGACCCATAGATGGTCTTTTAAGATCTACAGAATGTATTTTGTTGATTAAAGAACTGCAAAAGGTGTTGCATACTTTGGGGCCTTGAAGGTTCTTAAAACAATTTAAACCCATGATTATAGCCTCGGTAGTCATTCAATAAAATATTTTAACAAGTAAAAAAGCAGAAAGTTCGACCGGGCCGAACTTTGAATAACCTCCAACATTTGGAACAAATTTGGAAATTTTCAAAAAAAAAAAAATAAATAAAAAAAAATAAAAAAAATAAAATCATAATTAAAATCCGTTAAAAATTCTAAACAATACGGAATGTGGCTGTTATATTAGGGTTTATAGGACGACGTGGACTTGCATAGGCAACTTTTGTCATACTCAAATTCGAAACTTGAAAAAAAATTATGTGAATAATGTAGCTAAAATCATCAAAATACAGAATATAGGTAGGTACCATTATAAGGGGGCTATCAAAACGTGGACCTGCACAGCCAATTTTCTGTCATAGGCTGTAGTATCCATTATGAACATCAAATACCAAATTTGAAACAATTCCGGCGAATAATGTCGCTACAACCATTAAAATACCGAATATCGGGAGGTGCCGTTATACAGGGTGAGATGAAAAAAACTGCAACCAACTTCAGACTGCTGTCATTTCAAAGCCACTCATCCGGCAGCTGTTAAAATTGCAAAAGAAAGAAAATAGACACAAAGAGGTAAAGAGTTACTTCGCTTGGTCGAAAGTGGTGAACTGCCGAATTTGGTTTATCCGATGAGAAAACATTCGTTGTCCAGCAAAATTATCGTGTTTACTTGCCAAAGAGGTCAGCTGAAAATGTGCACCTTCGGTGGGACACCAGAACTCAAGCGCCGGCCATGGCGATGTTACAGCCGATGGTCGCTCTCCGCTCGTATTAATCGACCGTGGCATCAGAATAAATGCCGAATATTATCGCGAAAATATTCTGGAGGGGGTATTAAAGCCTTGGGCATGCAAATAATTTGGCCAGAGACCTTGGACATTCCAACAGAACTCCGCATCATCGCTCTCAGCACGCGCCACCCAAGAATAGTTACAAAATGAGGTTCCTCGCTTCATTTGCAGCGCACAATGGCCACCAAAATCTCCGGATACCAATCCGTTGGACTATTGTGTCTGGAGTATTTTGGAAAGCAATGTTGGCACTAAAAAATATCATAGTATGGATCACCTCAAGCAAGCGCTTCACGGGCAATGGACCCAAATACCGCAGAACAACATTCGGGCAGCAGCGTGTGACGGTTTCATTGGCCATTTGAATACCATAATTCATGCCAAAGGTGACCAATTCGAACAAATCTAAACATATTCTAAAATTTGATGCCATTTCCAAAAATTTTGCTTTCATTCAATAAAATTTAAAAAAATTAAAAATTAGGGCGTTGACTTTGTAGCAGTTTTTTTAATCTCACCCTGTATAGTGATATTATATTTTAAATATAGATTAATTTATAGTATACTCTGAAGATATTGGTTTTAATTTCCAAAAAATCTGGAGAGCGTCTAAAAGTATGCTATAGAAATGTCAGCGATTAATGTGGAAAAAGTCTCTCTACATATGACTCGAACATGATGTGCAATCTGACCTTTGCAAAGATTTTCGACCCTTAATAGCGACAGTTTTCAGAAACTCTCTCCAAAAGAACTTGTAAATTGAAACATATACATTTTCAAATGCAAATATCTGTCTAATGAACTTTTGCCAGAGTCCATTCTATCTCCGGTCTTTTTTTTTTTTTTTTTTTTGTTATTTTTTATTATTTTTTTGGTTTATTTCATTTTTCTGATATCTTCGGCAGTTGTTGTATTTTTGTTGGTGTCTCAAAATTATTTTATAATCAATTTTATGTTTACATATGTTTCTAAAATGAAAAGTCAGAGTGCCAGTTGTGAGGCATGATGCTCGCCGAGTGCGTGTGTGCGGCAGTCTGTCCACATGCAGAACTTAATGTTTCGTAAAGTTTTCTGCGTCTTTTTTCTAGAGAATTTAGGAAAAAATACGCTTCCTGGTATGCAATGCATTGCGTGATGCTGCTGCTCCGAAATGAATACACTTCAGCTGCGAATGATGGGGTTGGTGGCATGGGCAGTAGGGTGGTTGTAAGACTGCACAAAAAAAAAACATGAATGAGTCGGTCGGTCGATCGTGAGGTCTGGTCTATCGCCTAGACATGTGAATTTACATATGTGTATGACCAACAACCAAAAAAAAAAAAACAATCAGCCCAAAATATTTTATGCATTGGCATAGATCCATTTCGAACAAAAATGAAATACAAAGTTCAATGAACGATTAAAAGCAATAGTTTTATGTGTCAATATTCTGTGTGAGTATTTGGGTAGGAGGAGAGACGTTGTTGGGTGGGGGTGGTGGCATGGAGGTTGTGGATATAATCTTAAAGTTGAGTTGAGAGATTGGGAGAAATATAAATCTGTGGAAATTTATGTTCACGTTTTAATTTCGACAACAATATAAATCATTGCCAATTAAAATGTGACATAAATCAAATTTAAATTTGACATCAACTAAAAAAAATGAAGATAAATTATTTTATGTCACCTAAAATTTCATAAAGTCATCCGGTAATCTGTACTCGAATTTGGTTTCAGAAGAAAAATCGGTAAAGGAAATAATCAAAAAAGGGAATTCCAAAAGGTCTCTTAAAAAACAGAACCTTATAGAGGTATTTTACAATAGGTTATATTTACGGATAATTTTCAAAGGAAAGAAAATGTATATTTCAATGACCCTGAGCTGTTATGGTGGACTATATTAACAAACAATTTTTTTAAGACCACCAAGGTTGTTTTTATGGATGTTGATAAGATTTTTCCAAGAATCACCAAGGATTTTTAAGAACAATTTTGGAAGGATCATCAAGGAAGGATTTTTTGAGATATTTTGCTGAACCACATGATCGTCGATTTGCACACCATTTTTATCAGTGTTATGGACATTTTCTTGAAGGGCCAGCTTGGCAAAAATCGAAGCATTTTAATTTTTTTTTTGTTGGACTGTCAAAGCCTACCAGGATGAAGGGCTTCAAGGCTTTAATCGTGGAAGTTTCAAGCACCACTAAGTTTTTAATTGTCGAGTTGGATAAATATTTTTTTAAGGATGGATTTTTGTAAATTCGTCCAAAAAATCTACGAGAGTACTAAAATGACGGAATTATAATTCTAAAATTTGGTTTGTATCAGTTGGTATTAGGCGGATAGAGTTAAAAACAAAATAAGAAATTTGTTATAAGAATCAATGTTGGAAAGTAAGTTTGATATACAGGGT